GATCTAACGTGCGACTTTAAACAATTAACGAATAAACAGTGGACGTAACCCTGATGGTGCAGATCGCTGGCTCAACCAGGAGGAAGAAGAAAAGCCCGAGAAAAGCAGCAGCAGCAGCAGCTCCGGAGGCAGTTCAGCGTCGGACTTGAAGAGGCGTCTTCAGGATCTGCCGTCCCGGAACGCGCCGGTTTCCCTGGCGAGTCGGGCGATCAACACCAGCAGACGACTTTCCCGGAAACGAGACCTCTATTTCTACAACGCGACGAATCGGATCGAGGAGAACGACGAGAGAGAGGAGCAGGAGTCCCTGCAGGCGAGAAGAAGCGTGGAGTCGAGGAACAGCGCCGCCAGGACTCGGAGAAGAGCGAAATTCCGTGCCGAGGCTATGCACACCGAAATAATCGACAACGAAGCACCTCCTGCTACTGAAGCTCCCGCGACAGAGTCCCAGCAACCCATTCCGCTGTCCAGAACGCCTTCTACGCTCAGTCCCCACGCCAATCAGCTCCACGCTATCAACGACTCGTCGAGGTCGCAGACAAGTCCCTCGTTGCTTCGAGTTTTCTCGAAGACAGGTTCACTGTGCAGCAGTCCGCCGTCGAAATTCGGCGGGTACAGACCCAACGCGGGTGTAATACTGTACAATCTCAGCTCAAGCAGCGAACAAGGCTCCGACTACGAGAACCTGACCGATAGGATCGGTTTCCCGGCGAGAATCGAGTCGGGATCCGCTTCTGATAGCAGAGCGGTCTCGGCTTCTCAGAAAGTACTGAGTAATTTAGACGAACTTGGGATCGTCACTCCTATTTCGAGGATGAGTTTGGATCAGTTGAGTCCTTCCGCGAAATATGAGGATCACGGTCCCTTTTATAGAGCCAGGGGGACGGCAAAAAGCGATTGTTGCGCCATGCAGAGTAGCGTTGTTGGGATCAGTGATCAGCAACTGTTTCTGTCCGCTAGAGAGAACACTCGTTATCAAATGCAGATCGTGGAGCCTCTGTTTGGTGTCTCTTGTGATACTTTTGCAGAAAACGCTCCTGGAGAAGCCCCCAGCTACGACGGACGGGATCGTTACGTGGAAGAATCGGTACAAAGTCGTCAGATGGTTTCATCATCGAAGGAACGTCTTGGTAAACTATCGCCCCCGAATCTCGTCGTCAACGCAGACCAGAAATCCCTATCTGAAGGTCTTCCTTCCGACGAAGACAGCGCACAATCCCTAGAACATCAAATGAAGAAGGCACCGTCCAAGTGTTTCCTGGATCCGAGCGAAATCAAACCTACCAGGATTCCTCTCTCAACCTCTAGACTTCACGACAGAACGGAGAAGATGTTCTCTCCTCGGTTCAGAGCTTGTTCCAGCGAAGGTCGCAGCGCGACGTCGTCCTTGCAAGAATTTTTCAACGACGAATCGAGGAGGAGAGAAATTGCTCCGACCAGAGTGTCCGTCAAGAGTCAGGACTCTCAGCAGGAGTATGTCAACGTTCCTTCTCTCGCTCTGAACTCGCAGGAGATGACTTCCTCCGCGTCTTCGCAGAGCAAGACTCCGGGGAAACACTTAAACGCGAACGATTTGATCGATGCCCTGTCGACCGTGTCTTTGTTACAGAAGGAAAACACTTACAGGTTGCCTTGCGGTGCGAGCTCTAGAAAAATCGAAGCAGGAGTCGACGGAGGAACATCGGCGAAGTTCGATGAGAACTCTGAAAGGTGTACGTCGTCTAGGTCCGACAGTGCGATGTCGAATCCGCCTAAGTCGGCGGTACAAGTTGGTTTGAACCATGCTTCGATCGAGTCGGACAGGCAATCGTACGTGCAGAGCTTTGCGACATCGGATTCTGAGAGTCTCGAGAGCAATCGACCTCTTTATTCCGACCAAATGTCTTCTGTGATCAATTTTGAGAATGCGGCCAATAAAACAAGCAGCAGATCACTAAAAGGAATAGGCTTAGAAAAGGACGTTGGCTCGACAGTGGTTAAAAATTATTCAGGAGATAATGGTGAAGCGAGAAACTATGAAGCCTCGGGTTCGCCGAAGAGGTTCAGTTCCTTCTTCCAAGTTCGCATGGATGAACCACTAAAATCGAAACCTCTCGCTGTCGGCGAAGACCTTGGCGAAGACAGTGAGGATTCAGAGACACCTCGCAGCGAGGACAAACGAGTGAACAGGTACGTAACTCCGGACTGCTACGAGACTGCTGAATCTCCGTCGAGAGAACCCGAAGACTCGGACACTTTTTCGACAAAGATGGAGGTCATCGATGCCACGTTGGCCGTGAGCTACCGGGAGAACTATTTGCACTCCCCCTACGAGGGAGAAGTCTACGAGCAGCTTGCCGAGAGGACCAAACTCAATCAGGTGGGAGACGGTCAGGATGTCGAAGACCCTATTAAATTCGAGTCTCCGGATTCCTCGGAAGACGAAGACCAAGAGGACAAGGTGATCGAGAGCAGGGCGCGCGTCTCTCTGGAGCAGATGGCGGCCGAGCAGTTCCGGAAAACCATCTTCGGAGAGCAAGCCAGGGCGATCCAGTCCGACACCGCGTCATATTTCACCGAGAAGTTCTACGATTCTTCTTCGTTTGTACAATCCGCGTCGACGTCGAAGCTGGCCTGCTCTCACGACTCCTCGAGGTTCCGGAGGAAGAGTCAGGATCGGTTTCCCTTCACAATGTCGGAGAAATCGAGCGTCGCGTCCCAGAAGCACCCCGGACGACTCGAGAGCGTGAACGATGAGTTGAAATCGATGGAAAAGACCTACAAGCTGGAATTACATCCGAGTATTATGAGGTTAGCCGGCGAGGGTTTCGAGGACACGCCCGCGCAGATCATTGATTATGTTTCGTTCAATGAAGAACGACAGCCTCGATCAGGAATGAGGAGACTCATGAAGAAGTTCTCGGCAAGGTGGAAGAGATCGATGAAACCGGACGAATCGTTCGATGCTAAGACAACGGACGTTCTCTACGAGAATCGAGAGTACCAAGGAGACTCTGCGGTTGATAGCTGTTCGGAATCTTCTTTGCTGAAGGATCTGAAGATGTGCAGTCCTCGCAGCAACCTGATCGCGACCAAAGAATCTCCCGACGAGCAATCCTCGGTTGTCGCCGAGGAGAAGACTCTCGTCAGGAACGAAAGCTCCAGAGACACGTTAGCCGGTGCCACATCGAGCAGACGGCATGATCGCGGCAATCTGTGGGTTCAGGAGATCAAGAGACCCGAAACTAATCACAGAGACGAGATCAAGATCACGGAAACGCCGAAGAAGAGCGACGACAGGTCGAAGAAGGATCCTTATTCCGTGTTCTTCGTGAAAAGCAGTCAGCAGACGCCAGACACGTCTGCCAGGGGGGTTCTTCCGGAAGAAGAGTCGAAAGGCGGACTCTCTTCAGGGAAGAAGAACAAGGTGAAGTTCCGAGGCAGCGCTTTGGCTGTGATGCCTAAAAAATCTGACGAGAGTGTCGTCAAGGAGCCGATTAACAGAAGAATCTTCGGGAATCGGGAGCGGGAGGCTGACACTGGCTGTCTGTGTTTGCGATTTTACCGGATGATCATTCCTAGGTATCGATCGTGGAGGTGGAAGTCCTCTCGGTCGCCGTCGGCCAAGCAGAGGCCTAGATTTTCGCCGGGGAAAAGGAAGGGATGGTGATTTTATTGAATTTTCTGTACATAATTAACAGTATCGAGCACAGAGTTTGCTGTACATTTGTAGAATTATAAAAGTTGTTCAGAGCATTCTGTTAAGGGACCGGGTTACTATGATAGATCACAAATCGTCGGGCGCACATACATGTTCGCTACGAATAAAGATCGCTTCATCGTTCATGTTCTTTATTTATACGTCGTTCGTACATATCTCATTTATTCTCAGTAATAGTGTTGCACGCTTACTTCCATCATGTTTCTCTCTGTACTCTATCTTTCTCTCTCTCTCGCTCTCTTTCTCACCTTCCACTTTTATTCGTCATACGAGCATCGTGCGAGTCTTTTGCCGAAGAATGCGCGTTTATCGAGTGTGTTTATCGCCTTAATAAAACGTTTCTCCGCTACGCTTTTTTTTAACTTATCATCGTTATTATCGTTTACCATTATAGAAAAAATAAGTCTTTAAATAATCACATAAGAGTCGTCGAGCATTCGAGAACCGTATGGGAACGGGGGTGGGTAAGGGGAAATATCGTGGGATAGGGGAACGGGGCGGAAAATGAGAGAACGTGGTTTTTTTTTTCTCCTGTGTACACATACATGCATGTACAACGTGGTACTTCGACGCGACATACACACGTAAAATGATCCGCGTACACTTTTTTTCGTGGTGTTCCATCTCTTACTTTCCTCTTAAGTATCCGAGGATAATGAAGGATAACGCGTGTGTTTCAGTTTTTCTGTTTCTTCCTTTCTTCGCTTGTTTTTCCTTCTCGTTTTGCGATAGAATCAATCAATCTCTCTCTTTCTCTCTCTCTCTCTCTCTCTCTCTCTCTCTCTCTCTCTCTTCGAAACAACGANGTCAGCAGACGCCAGACACGTCTGCCAGGGGGGTTCTTCCGGAAGAAGAGTCGAAAGGCGGACTCTCTTCAGGGAAGAAGAACAAGGTGAAGTTCCGAGGCAGCGCTTTGGCTGTGATGCCTAAAAAATCTGACGAGAGTGTCGTCAAGGAGCCGATTAACAGAAGAATCTTCGGGAATCGGGAGCGGGAGGCTGACACTGGCTGTCTGTGTTTGCGATTTTACCGGATGATCATTCCTAGGTATCGATCGTGGAGGTGGAAGTCCTCTCGGTCGCCGTCGGCCAAGCAGAGGCCTAGATTTTCGCCGGGGAAAAGGAAGGGATGGTGATTTTATTGAATTTTCTGTACATAATTAACAGTATCGAGCACAGAGTTTGCTGTACATTTGTAGAATTATAAAAGTTGTTCAGAGCATTCTGTTAAGGGACCGGGTTACTATGATAGATCACAAATCGTCGGGCGCACATACATGTTCGCTACGAATAAAGATCGCTTCATCGTTCATGTTCTTTATTTATACGTCGTTCGTACATATCTCATTTATTCTCAGTAATAGTGTTGCACGCTTACTTCCATCATGTTTCTCTCTGTACTCTATCTTTCTCTCTCTCTCGCTCTCTTTCTCACCTTCCACTTTTATTCGTCATACGAGCATCGTGCGAGTCTTTTGCCGAAGAATGCGCGTTTATCGAGTGTGTTTATCGCCTTAATAAAACGTTTCTCCGCTACGCTTTTTTTTAACTTATCATCGTTATTATCGTTTACCATTATAGAAAAAATAAGTCTTTAAATAATCACATAAGAGTCGTCGAGCATTCGAGAACCGTATGGGAACGGGGGTGGGTAAGGGGAAATATCGTGGGATAGGGGAACGGGGCGGAAAATGAGAGAACGTGGTTTTTTTTTTCTCCTGTGTACACATACATGCATGTACAACGTGGTACTTCGACGCGACATACACACGTAAAATGATCCGCGTACACTTTTTTTCGTGGTGTTCCATCTCTTACTTTCCTCTTAAGTATCCGAGGATAATGAAGGATAACGCGTGTGTTTCAGTTTTTCTGTTTCTTCCTTTCTTCGCTTGTTTTTCCTTCTCGTTTTGCGATAGAATCAATCAATCTCTCTCTCTCTCTCTCTCTCTCTCTCTCTCTCTCTCTCTCTCTCTCTCTCTCTCTTTCTTCCTTCGAAACAACGATGCGCACTAAGCCTAGAAAAAATCTATCTACCGAGAAGACCAGTCGTTTTCGCGTTAAAACTAGACGAGGTTACGCGTGATTCCGGTACGCGGCCCGGCGGCGAGGAGGTTTTAATCGATTCGATGAAAGGAGGTGGACAACGGCCACCGGCGAAAAGGAGCACAAAGAAAATCCAACGCTAAAGGCAACGCGTTTCCGCGATCCGCCTCTAGTCAATCTTCTTTCCCTCGGTTTCTAAAAAAGGAAAGGGAGCCGTGAGAGGCCCTCGTCTCATGCCCCTACATGATCATGGGAAGGGCCATTCCGCTGACGGCCGTTCTCTGAGAGACTTCACCTCTCGAATTCGCCGAGAAAACGAGCTAGCAGGCCAAGCGATATTCCGAATTTCAGGTCGCCGAGGACTATAATCAGCTATTTCGCTTCGAACGACGATACAGATAAGATATCGAGTGTCAGGCTCGCGCATCGTACCGTGTGGCAAGCTGTTCTACGATGTCGAGCATGTTAGTTACTTAATAGAGGCAGAAACGCGGCCAGGAGACCTCTCCGTTCCTCTTTTAGAAACCCGAACGCAGTGCGAAGGGCTTTGCCACCCTTCCGTTTTGGCCGTTTACATTATGCACCATTCAGATTTATAGTCAAATTCGGTTAGTTTTTGTTCGATCGCTCATCGTCGTCGTCGTCGTCATCGTCGAAGCTCGTGTCGTCAGGACGGGACTGACTGGGGATACGGCGTCACAAAGGGGGTGGAATGGAGAACTCTTTCCGCACGTAGAACAAAATGTACGGTTTGCACTTAGCGACTGCGTCCGTGGTCGCTGGTCGCACCGAGCTGTCGTTAAAGTGAAACCATTGTCCGTCGTGAACAGCAAAGGCAGTGTAGTGTCCAGTTCCAGCGCTGAAAAAGAATGCAACAAATATTGAAATTCGAACTTCTTTAAAGCTAGTAGCCGGGTGAAATCTATCAATCCTTGTCTCAGTAACCAGTAAATAATTATTGATACAAACATTCATACGAATCACACGGATTCTTTATCGGAAAAGGGTTGGTCCGCGTTCTAATCAGATGTCGCACATTTTTACTATCAACCTAGGCGAAGATAACGGTCTACTTTATTCCATATAGGAACGAAGCAGACAATAGTGCTTTGTCCAATTAGAACTCGGCCTAAGTGTAGAAAGACGCACCCCGAACCGTGATGCACGATAACGGCAGCCAGGTCGTAGAGGTGGCTATTCGAGCCGCCTAACTTCGTTCCAGTGACGCCTCGTACCGTGAACGCCGACATGTCGAGCGACTTCATGGGGAAGTCCACTTGCGTATCCACCTTCGACCGATAAGAATTGCACCACCTAAATCTTTTAATGTGAAGGCACAACACCTGAAACCAAGTGTCGCCGTCAGCCAAGAAATTCGCGTAATCGATTCTTTGTGGTGTCCTTATCGAACATCGACGATGCTAACATTAGGCAGCCTGTGTATCCAGAACCTCTTGGTGGACCTTTGCTTCCCCATGCAATTGTCGCAGAAGTAGAGCTCGCTGTCCGCCAGCTCCTCGACTTTGAAGAATCTCGTCAGACTGTACGTTAGACTGCAGACCTCTTCCTGTTCTTTCGTCCGCCGTTGCAGTCTGTCCGGTATGTCCAGCGACAGATCCTGGAACGGCTCGTGCGTCTTGGAATCTGTTCGGCAGTTCATGCAATGGACCTGCGCGAGGAAACGCGATCCATAATTCGTCCGCGCTTCTCCCAAGAAGAAAATGAATAAAATGACTTTCCAACAGTACGAACATTTGGAACAAGACACTTCTCCTATCGTTCCGCGTCAGAGCGACGAAACGCAACCGCCGGTACGAGCCAATCCAAGTGGTCATCGATTATCCTAATATTCGCAGGACTAGTTGTATATCTTGGGAAGTTCGATTTGCAACATTTCGGCACGTCGATATCTCGCGCGTAAACAGACCGGGAATTATCTAGCAAGTTTCTTGCTAAGCTGGTCAACTGTTAGCTTGTGTAATAAGTCTGTTTGCGTTTTCTTGCAAGAAAATATAGTACCGTGCCGTCGAACAGACTTATTATACAATTTCAGTCTAATCTACTTTGTCTTAAAATAGACACTTCTAGCTTTGAACTATCGCTTCGAATTCGCATGATTTTCCTTGACTTTTCCTAAGTATCGCAGATCCGCAAGCGGATATATTACACGATCTAATAAAATTCAGCAGAACCGAAGTTTCCAAGACACGGGCCAAGTTCTGCGGCTTTGAAACAGCTCGGTGACCATGTTCTATGCGATTCAACGTGGAGTGGCTCGTAGGAACATCGTCACCCGCACCGCCAAGTGTCCCGGAAATTGACGGCGACTTACCACGCTAAGGAGTGTGCCCCCAAAGACTGCTGTGACAATGCTCTGCTTGCCCCTGAGACCCAGAGGCTCGTGTCCCAGTCTGGGCAGCAGCTGCAGGAGCTCCGTGTGCAGTCTGTCGAGCATGTAGGTGAGAAATTCGTGCGCGTCCTGCTGCTGGTAGCCGCGAAATCTCGGCACGACCTTCCAGATCACCAGGAAAAGACATTCCGGGGATATTGCTTGGCCGTTCGAACCGCCCAAGTTCAAACCGAGCAGAACTTTCCTGAGCTCCTCGGCCAGGAGGGCGTCGCTCATGCTCAGCTCTTTCGCTCTTCCAGGAGTAACGATTCGCCCCCTGTGCGTCGGCGACTCGTCGAACGGTATGCCCTCGAGACACGGCATCTGCGTCAGATACTCGCAGAAGTGGCTGATGTTGTTGAACGACTGGAGCACGACGTTCATGAAACAGGTATTGCCGAGATTCCTCAGGCCGACGACCTTCTTCTCTTTGGTAATTTTGGAGCTTCTACGCTTGGTCGCCGGCCGATTATCCCCGCTTGTCCCATCCAGGGAGTGTAGCCTCTTCCTCGCCGTTCTCGGCCGCAGGTTCCTCACGACCACTTCCGCTTTCCACAGAGCGTCCGCGTCGTTGTCGTTGTCGCTGTTCTCCCGTCTCGACGACGGTGTCGTCGACGGCGACGTGTTCCAGTTCTCGTCGTTCTCCTTGTGCTCGTCCTTGCGGAACGTGATGCGACGGATCTTCTCAATCTGGCCGTTCGTCGTGTCGTTCACGACGTACTCGTCGCACATGTAACTGTAAAAAGCAAATGCTTAGGATTTCGAGAAAATTGTCGGCGACCGATCGAATTATCTACCGATCTACTATGATCTTTAACACTGAACCTACCGTGCCGTGGTCAAAATGGCCGGTTTCGTATCCTTAAATTTGAAATTGCTGAAATTGCGATGACTCTTTCAGTGAAAATGATCGAATAAATTTGTTAATCCAAGTTGTTGATCCAAGCTCGACATCGTTACGGAGAAATACAGAGATCGGGCACTTCTGGTGCTCGGTAGGTTCGGTGTTAAAGGAAAAGATAGCACTTCAAGAGCATCGATTGAGGCACGATTGGAAACTTACCAGAATACTGCCAGGTTCTCACAGTCTATGCAAACGCAATGCTGAGTATCTTGTTCATGATGCTGCAACGCGTGGCCCGACACGTAGCGTCCGCAATGCACCGCGCCGCAGTAGAGACACAGCCAAGTACTCTTCTCGGTTCCACATACTGTCAACAACAATGAAATGATTAGCGATACCGCAAAGGTGAATAATAACACGGGGCCGGGAAATTTCTGGAGACGCCAACGAGAATGTTAAACATTGGAAGAACATTATGGTGGTTCGAACTAAACAAGTATCCGGGCGGCTCAATTAACGAAACAGGATCATGATGAAATTGAATCGAGGCGAAGAATCCGAGGGAATCGCTTCGAGACTGTTCGACGCCATATTGTCAGCGACGTTAGATTCGTGTACCTAGCCCTTAAAAGTTGCAAATAAAGGATCGAACTACTTACACAGCCAAATATCAAATCGAGTTCATATTTTGCCTCGTGAATGGTACACCTAAACGCGCGTATTTGACGATTTTCTGCCATAATGTTTGGGTTTAAACGGTGGCTAACAGCAACCTCGGAAGTTCAGCCCTAAATTTTTCGCGAAGCAATTTCATAAAGTTGCAATAGTAAAAGCATCGGTGCTGAAAAAAAGATTCTTCACGTAGGACAAAAGTAGAAATCGACTTAATCGTCACCCTCGTCTCTAGGGGCACTCGTGCTGGTCATTTGAGTCATTCGAGACATTCGGGCCTTAACAAATTCACGTATCTCTAGAATCGGCAGCTTGAAAGAATAAAATACGCCGTAAAGATTCCTTTATCAATAGGAAGCAACTGCTTCGTCTCTATATTCGGATGCTGTATTCACCTCGATGCTCGGCGATCGCTAAATATCACGAGTACCACGACGGTGTGCACCATCTTTTTGAGTCGTGCCCGCTTACGTAATTCTCGGGAGAGCGCGTAAAACCAGGGTGAATGGATGGAAGGCTGTTCGACACACCCCCTTCGCAGTCGATCGATCGCGAAATGTCTCGCAATTCTATCGGGTTCGAGATTTTGCATGCTCGTTCCTTTATTTCGGCCGGGGTCGCAGGGAGAGGCGATCTCGTATTCCGAAACCAAGAATTTGTGGATCATGGCACGACACAATTGATCGTGTCCCCGGCTAATTGAACAATTAAGCGGGCATCGTTCAGAAGCGAATTTCCCGGCACGGTTTACCGTTCCGGCAATACGCAGGAGCTGGCCGCGCTGCAAGGGAATCGCGAGATTCGCCGAAGGGAAAATAGCGTGGCTGCATAAAAATTGAAACGACGTCGCGGTTCGAATCCAGCGTAATCCGATCTGTCGAGCGGAGCTCGTTCCCGAGGAGGGTACACGCGTTTATTTCGCAATCGCGCCGCTGTGAAACGGCGCGGTTTCGAATTCGACACCCCGGTGGGATATTCGCGGAGGCGAGAAATTCGGCAGCGATCGATCCTCGATCGCTCTAAAACGGTCCGCGGTCGTGCGAAATATTTTTCCGCGGCCGATGTATTCTTGGAAGATCGTGGCTGTACAGCGGCACAGCGCGATGCAGGTACGAACACGGGGTCTCGAATTTCACGTTCGCCGGAAGATGGGTATCGGCGATCGAAGCTACCGAAACGAGATCGAGGCGGACCGTTCGCGTCCGTCTCGCAGTGGCCGATAAAACGATTCGCGTCGCCACACCTACTGTGCGCTTTCGCGCGGAAGAAATTTTCGTACGTAGCTCCGCGCATCGAGCTGGATGCAGCAGGGATGCCGACCCGAGCCGACCCGACACGACCCGCGTCGCGTCGCGTCGCGCCGCGTCATGTCACGGACCGGCACATGAAGCAGCGGTGTTTCCAGGGCCGATGTGAAACAGGATGGAAGAAAAATTCGTTAAGGCAGCGGTGGCACCCGTATATATCGGGGCATCCGATTAGCAACGACGCTGTTATCGATTTTGCTACGTCGTACCCGAACCAGCTTGCAGCGCAGGAAAAGAGGCAGAAGAAGTGGGGAGGGAGGGAGGGAGGGAGGAAGGGAAGGGAAGGGAAGGAAAGGGAAGGGAAGGGAAGGGAAGGTGTGGAGCATGGGGTTCTTTCATAGCCCACAAGGGACGATTTTTCTCCTGCGCGCGGTTCGTGCGACCGCCTGCGGTAATTCTTGCCCGGTGCGGTGCGGAGCGGAGCGTGGCTCGCGAGACCATAGGGGATATTTAAATTGATCTCGCAGCCTGGAGCCGCGTCGCGCGAGTCGCCGGGCGTGAATCTCGCGAGGGAGGCGGGTCCGATGGCCGAAATTCGAGCGTGACCGACGATGCGTCGTCGGTCGTCCGGTGACCGACGACAGGAGAAAAATCTTCCGTCTGACTCATCGTCCACGCTTCGGAAATGCGGACTCTCTCCGCGACTATCCGTCTGCTTCCCCACCCGAAACCCTTTTCTCTTTTCTCCCCTCGCCGGAATACGTCGGATTAGAGGGAGGCCGGGAGAGAGAGAGAGAGAGGGAGAGAAAGATAGACGGGACGGACACGTTTCGCGAAACGCGTTTAGGGCCGACGCGCTCGTACGTTCTCGACGGGACGACGAAAGGCACTCCGGCGGCCGGCGGTTTCTTATTTACGTAACGCACCGCGGCCTCTTCTGGGAACTTGTTACGATTAAACGACGGCTCCGCGAGAGAGTCCGCAGCAGTCTGTCGCGAAACCCGTTCGAGAGAGCCGCGTCGATTGTAAAACGCTTCTCTTCCTGCCGGCTACGCTGGCCTCCGCAACGAGGGACAGAGAAAAGAGACGAGCCGGTGGTCACGAAGCCGGAGCGGAGAACGATTGGAAAACGCGTGCGAGAGTCCGGCGGGTATCCAGGGTCGGGGGGAGGGGGGCCTCTTTCAAAGGGAGCAATAAAAGTATTGCGCATATTTCGGGTAAATATAGTACTAGAGGCCGTGCAAAGAGAAAGGACAAAGAGACGAACGGTCTTTCGCTCTCTCTCTCTCTCTCTCTCTCTCTCTCTCTTTCTCTTTCCGTGGAAGAGGAGGAGAAATCAACAGCAGCAGCAGTAGCGTCGGGAATAAGGGAAAAACTGCCTACACGAGGCTGCGGTGTGGCATTCTCTCATTGATTTTTCAAACGCGTCTGGCGGCCCCCGATGCTTCTCGAGAAATCTCGAGGCGGTGTCTCGCTCGCGGAGCCGGAAGCGGCGCAATAAAATCGAGAAAAGCGGCCGGGCGGTGGGGCGGAGGAAAAGGACGGAATAACACGACCGGGCAGAGCCGCGGAGAGCACGTTTATCTGGCGAGTTCTAATGACAGATCTCGGGGCCAGCTGATTAGTGCTGTCTGGTATTGATTTTCCAATGACGGCCGCGCCGCATACTGAGAACTCCCAGCAGGACGATGCACACGCGCACCGTCCGCGCGACGCTCTTGTTCGGTCCGTTGAGCGCGNCGCGTCGCCACACCTACTGTGCGCTTTCGCGCGGAAGAAATTTTCGTACGTAGCTCCGCGCATCGAGCTGGATGCAGCAGGGATGCCGACCCGAGCCGACCCGACACGACCCGCGTCGCGTCGCGTCGCGCCGCGTCATGTCACGGACCGGCACATGAAGCAGCGGTGTTTCCAGGGCCGATGTGAAACAGGATGGAAGAAAAATTCGTTAAGGCAGCGGTGGCACCCGTATATATCGGGGCATCCGATTAGCAACGACGCTGTTATCGATTTTGCTACGTCGTACCCGAACCAGCTTGCAGCGCAGGAAAAGAGGCAGAAGAAGTGGGGAGGGAGGGAGGGAGGGAGGAAGGGAAGGGAAGGGAAGGAAAGGGAAGGGAAGGGAAGGGAAGGTGTGGAGCATGGGGTTCTTTCATAGCCCACAAGGGACGATTTTTCTCCTGCGCGCGGTTCGTGCGACCGCCTGCGGTAATTCTTGCCCGGTGCGGTGCGGAGCGGAGCGTGGCTCGCGAGACCATAGGGGATATTTAAATTGATCTCGCAGCCTGGAGCCGCGTCGCGCGAGTCGCCGGGCGTGAATCTCGCGAGGGAGGCGGGTCCGATGGCCGAAATTCGAGCGTGACCGACGATGCGTCGTCGGTCGTCCGGTGACCGACGACAGGAGAAAAATCTTCCGTCTGACTCATCGTCCACGCTTCGGAAATGCGGACTCTCTCCGCGACTATCCGTCTGCTTCCCCACCCGAAACCCTTTTCTCTTTTCTCCCCTCGCCGGAATACGTCGGATTAGAGGGAGGCCGGGAGAGAGAGAGAGAGAGGGAGAGAAAGATAGACGGGACGGACACGTTTCGCGAAACGCGTTTAGGGCCGACGCGCTCGTACGTTCTCGACGGGACGACGAAAGGCACTCCGGCGGCCGGCGGTTTCTTATTTACGTAACGCACCGCGGCCTCTTCTGGGAACTTGTTACGATTAAACGACGGCTCCGCGAGAGAGTCCGCAGCAGTCTGTCGCGAAACCCGTTCGAGAGAGCCGCGTCGATTGTAAAACGCTTCTCTTCCTGCCGGCTACGCTGGCCTCCGCAACGAGGGACAGAGAAAAGAGACGAGCCGGTGGTCACGAAGCCGGAGCGGAGAACGATTGGAAAACGCGTGCGAGAGTCCGGCGGGTATCCAGGGTCGGGGGGAGGGGGGCCTCTTTCAAAGGGAGCAATAAAAGTATTGCGCATATTTCGGGTAAATATAGTACTAGAGGCCGTGCAAAGAGAAAGGACAAAGAGACGAACGGTCTTTCGCTCTCTCTCTCTCTCTCTCTCTCTCTCTCTCTTTCTCTTTCCGTGGAAGAGGAGGAGAAATCAACAGCAGCAGCAGTAGCGTCGGGAATAAGGGAAAAACTGCCTACACGAGGCTGCGGTGTGGCATTCTCTCATTGATTTTTCAAACGCGTCTGGCGGCCCCCGATGCTTCTCGAGAAATCTCGAGGCGGTGTCTCGCTCGCGGAGCCGGAAGCGGCGCAATAAAATCGAGAAAAGCGGCCGGGCGGTGGGGCGGAGGAAAAGGACGGAATAACACGACCGGGCAGAGCCGCGGAGAGCACGTTTATCTGGCGAGTTCTAATGACAGATCTCGGGGCCAGCTGATTAGTGCTGTCTGGTATTGATTTTCCAATGACGGCCGCGCCGCATACTGAGAACTCCCAGCAGGACGATGCACACGCGCACCGTCCGCGCGACGCTCTTGTTCGGTCCGTTGAGCGCGAGAGAGAAAGAGAGAACACCCATGAACGGAGCGTGCACACAAACACCGACTTATATCGCGCCAGGGAGATATACGAATGCGTCAAGGAGTGTACTTTTCACATCCACACACACGCACGCACGCGCGCACACACACAGGGCCGCGGCTGTGACCACGCGCGCGCGACGCTCCTATCTTTCTCTCTCTCTCTCTCCCTCGTTTCATCTCTCTCTTTCTCCGGTGGTATCACACACAGCGTACTTATATACCGCCGTGGGACACGTATATATCGTGGCACGACGAGTTCGATCCGCGATACATGCAAACGGGTACGTATGGGTTGCGCGTCCGAGTCCGAGGTACCGTCGACGGAGCGTGGTGTCTATCGAGCAGCGTCGACGGGAAAGGGGGAAAAATGGTAGAGCATGCAGAGAGGAGAACATAGGCTACCGATTACGGTCGTTTCGGAGCACGATTCTTTCCGCGACGGGAAATAGGAATGGTTTTCTGCTCCGTCTTGTCGGGTACGACGCCTCAAGGCCGCGAGAGGAACGGCCGGGGCCTCGGTCACGAGAGGCAAGGGAGAAAGAGGAAGGGAACCAAGCGAGACGGAGAAAAATGAGAGAGAGAGAGAAGGGGGAGGGGGGAGGGAGAGTAGAGGAATAAAAGAACGCAGGAGAGAAAAGAAAGTACGGTAAAAGAAACCCGGAGAGAGACAATAGGTTGGCGAAAGGGAGGATCGTGAGATCGTACGGGTACGCTGTACCCTCGGAGAAAAAAATGATGCGTATGTCGCTGGATCTGTCGTTTCGGAACGGAAGAGAAAGAAACGCGGAGAGTGCCTCGGCCCACGGGTACGACAACACACGCCTCTCTTTCTCTCTCTCTCTCTCTCTCTCTCTCGCTCTCTTCGTAGGAGGAAGGATAGAGGGGTCTGGGTGCTTTTATGTCGGGCCATACCTGCACAGACGAACGGTAGATCCTTCGTGCAGCTTGCTTCTACGTCGTTACTGCCGAATTGGACGCTTTGAGCAAGATGTGGACACTCCATGTTTCCCTAGGCACGAATCCACGGGGCCCTCGTGGCCCCTTCGTCGGCGAGTGCCTGCGTATATGTACGTGCCTGCGTTTACAACGTGTTCTTTCTTTCTCTCTCTCTCTCTCTTGTCTATCCTTTCCCTCCCACCCTCCCGCGATTCTCACGTTCTCTCGCGGCCCGACGAGAGCCAAAGGAGAGCAGTAGCTGGCGGAGGACAGGGTGGGAATGATAGAGAAAACGTGTCCGGGGTACGCTTCGGCGCCCCGCGATGTCCGTCACATAGCGCGTGGAATAAGGGCACCAGCGCGTACCAGTCCCTTTAACAGAACAAAAAAAAAGAAGGAAGGACCCAACTGTTCACGATGCGCAACCACGATGGACTGAGGAAAACTGAGCAGACCGAAAACGAGCAGCGGAGCGCCCGACTGGCCCCGACTACCGACCGAACGCAACCGAGCTGCGTCGGGCTCGGTTCTGCGGTGGTCGGGCTACCTCCAGAGTCACAGACCACGAATAGTCGACTGACTCGCCGGTCGTACAGTCTCTCCTCCCTGCGCCCAGAGAGTTCCGATCATTCGCAGGCGTGCGACCGTGGCTAGGCTATTCCCTCCGCGACGTCGCGTTTCAAGACCTCTACGCCGTCGCGTTCTTCAACCCCGCTATTCTCGTTGCGCAGCCTCCAATGCGCAGGCCTCTCCGGAGAGAGGGAAATGCTGGGGGGTGAGACGGAACCACCAATGCAAACGAGCGCTCATGCGAAGCGCGTAGTACACTCGCTGCGAAAACTTCCAGTTATTTGCGAAATCAAACCCATGAAATATATGCGTGCTACATCGAAGGGTTTGGAACAATGATGTCTCGATATAACGACAATAAGTATAAAGAGTAATTCAACGTTGTAAATGCAAAGTGTAAAATACACTCGTCGTTGTACTAGCTGTCCACTGCACTTCTATTGTTCCAGGCTTGCATAATAGGAGTGTAGTGGCCGCCTATTATGAAATGAAGCGTGTTCCAACTGGTATCGTTCAACGCCAACCTACGATATTAGAAAATATTGTTGTGTAACAAATAAGATGCAGTGAAACTTAACTGAAAATACGTTCGCAATGTACTGTTTGTCAGTGGAATAGGTTCTAAGCTCCAGTTTGAGGAGGTTTAAGAATCATAAGAGCATTAAAACGTAGTCGGGTCAGATCAGCCTTTAGAAGATTTCGGGATGTTTAAATCGGATGGAAAATAAGAAACTGTCTATAGATAATTTTAGATATGAAATAACGTTGGTATATAACTGTACATAAAGATGATAAATAATGAAATGCGAGTCTCTCTCACTAAGTGTGTACGGCAAACGACGAACATATCGTTAATTTTCTCATTTTTCTGACACAATTCGGAGAATTCCTTCCGGATAATTATCTGCAATACTGTTTTGAACAGAAGGCTGTGTGCGACTTATATGTTACGAAAATTTTGCGAGCGTCTGTACGTACTCTCCCACTTGCGGGACGTGTTTGTCTATGAGGGCAGCACTGTCGCAACACCGAGTTGTCGGCCTATCAGAGCGGAGAGAAACTTTCTTCCGCCCTCTCCGTCATCGCGTTGTGTCACCAAAATTTCGCGACGTCGCAATGAGAACTCTGTATTCTCTCTCTTTCTCCCTTCATCGAACCTCGCCACCTACTGTTCAGGTTGGGCTAGGCTCTCTAGCCTTGGATCATGCTAGGTCGCGCAGCCTCTGAACGAGTTAGCCAGGTCCGGCCCATTCGTGTGGGTGCCGAAGGAGGGCGACGCGTTTTCACCGATAATGCACACACGGAGGAATGAAACGTTGCTTCTATTGCAAAACCTATTCCACAAGATATTTTCGATATTCGATACGCTAGGGAAGCGTGGGTAAATTTGATAGCGCAGGGAGTTATCGCGTTGCTTGAATATTCTCTGAAAAATGAATTGGATTGTTTTGTAGTACGCGTCATTTTTTACTAAAAATGAATCATTAATAAATCTATTAATATTCATCATGAAATTTTGTACGTAAGCAAAGTTTTTTAAATTGCATTGTGTACGATGGAAAGAAAGTCAATTTTTCTGTTCAATTAAAATGGCCGACTTTCACGCATGCGTACGTTGACATAAACTTGGCATTAATTTTTCATGACACTCTCGAATAATTTAAAACATTACGAACTATGGTTCGTGTTATTCAGAAATCCAATTTCAATTTAAAACAGTTTCTAACGAATTTAGTTGATACTTATAAAGCTAACGTTACATACTGCGGACTTATATAATTATAAAGAACTAAAAAAAAGAAGATTACTATTTTAGAATGTCAGCTTGCATTTTTATTAAAAAGTGCAACACTAACAAACTTATTTATTATAAAGAAAAAATTAAGAACGTCTGCTATATGGTGGTAATTGAGATTGCGTAAGTTGGAGTCCTGGAATATTGTTGAATCCTAGCATCTGTAACATTTCTTTAGTCTCTGGATCGACCTCGATGATGTCGTGTTCCAGGGCAGAGACTTCAGGAACGTAGTTATCTCTGCGTTCCCTCTCTTCTTCTTGCAGTTTGATGGAAATACCACGCACTTGACTGTGTCTCAAACGTTTCATTAAATGCGTAACAAATCTGTTTAACAAAAAATAGTACAAAGTCTTAGATTTTTACACTCACGACAAATTGTTTCTCATTATTTTGTTATACTGTCAGGTATAGTGAAATCGTAAATCAGCTCAAGAAGTAACATCATAAACTAAAATGTAAAAATATATTTACCCAGCGATTTTGTTACGGAGAGATTTGCTAGGAATAATAGCAATTTCTTCACATATCCTCTTGTTGGTGTGGAAGTCCATAGTCAATCGAGTGTAATATTTCTCGATGATGAGTTTGGCGGCCTTTTTGACCGTCTTAGTCCTGACGCGACTCTACAAACATAAATCTCATTTTATATTTACAAATCATGCTTCCAAATTCAACTTATCTTTCGCTCGATGTCGATATACACAAAAAAAGAAACGAAGAAACACTGGCAACACTTGCACATAACCTAAACTTTAAAAACTACGTTCAACAAATATGTTAAAACAGATTTAAACGAACAATATTTCGATTATGTTATTCAATGTGCATATTAATACGTTGCAAAGTGATTCGTTTACACATTTAAAGAAAGATTGCTACGATTTTTACTGATTAAAATTAGAAAATATCAAAACGTACGTACCATGTTGGCTATTGTATCGGAAAAGACATAAACCAAAATGGAAGAGAGATACTACCGCTGCACGACTATCAACACTCGCGGCAAAGCAGAGAATTACACTCTGCTCTGCTAAAGCCATCTATATCTGTTCGTCAATTACCAGAAGTTTAATTCCTTACAAATTTTACATGAAAAATAAGATTATAATCATAATGCAGCAGCTCAGGACCGCAACATCATTTAAATTAACATTTATTTAAGAAAACGCTGCCATTAAAAATTATTCAAAATCTAGTGCTGATAATGCAGACAAATACTAAATATTTACACAAACGCAAACAAGGTGTAGGAATAAATCAATCATCGAATATATCTCTTTAGCTGATTTGACAAATTTCTTTTAATTGGTTACATTTTAACGATCATCCACTTAATTCTTGGCCATCACTTCTTCAAAATTGTTCTCATTGTCAGCTATACTTCGTTTGTGCTTAGACGAATTGTAATTCCATGTTCGTTCCGCAACGTAGAGGGCGCAAGAAACCAACTGATTTTCACGAAAGTCGGTACTTCAGTCCAAGCGACACAAAATCCAACGTAATAATTAACATATTTACCTACCACACTTTATCTCTAATACAATTAATCACAGACTAAATGGCATACGAGACAATAAAGATCTGAAGATCATAAGGATCTCAAGATTATGAGCGTGTCAATGTTTCGAAACAGCGTTAACAATAAGATTGGCCAGTGGCCGCAAGGTGTCAGCACTGACCCGAAAGGGGTCCGCAAGCAGTACGAAACGTCAGTGTGTCAAAACATGTCGCACGCTGCGTTGTCTCTTGACGGAAGCAGTCGAATCGCGTGTTATTCCCATCATCCGCAAGTGACATTCGGTGTGCACGTGGACGAGAATAGTTCCGAAGCTGTGTCGTCGTTCAGCTCGAACGTGAAGCCCCTGGAACCGCAGAAAATCGAGAACGCCAGGTGACAGGGTAGAGAGCAGTCCGCTGAGCGATAGTGGGGGTTGGTCGTTCGATGGTGGCAGCACCGTCGGATGAATCGGTGAAAGGAGAAGCGCTAGCCTGTGCGAGAAGGACGCGCGCGCGACCAGGTGGGGCGAGCAGAGTGAGATGACGCGGCGCCACGAGTCCACTGATTGGACGAAGACGGACAATTCGTTCAAGCGTACTCGGTGCTCGTCCGCGCGCGAGAGAGAACACGCGTTGGCTGGAAGAGGAAGGGACTACAGCGAGAAGGAGGGCAGACTCGCGAGGGAGAGGCGACGAGTTTGTTTATCGCCTTGGTGAACGGCGAGAGCAGTCAGTGCGGTGCTACACTTGGCCCGTAGTGGTTTGGACGATCGGTGGTAGTTCGGTCCGTCGGTTTCGGTTCTCTTCTGACAATTTACCACGGGGATACTTGCTCAGTGCGCGGGTGTCTTGTTTCTATCGGTCGCGTGTCATCGTCCGGTACGGTCCGCTCCGCCTGGGGACCCTCGTGACGGAAGAAAATGCCGCGAACCACTGCCAAAACATAGTTCGTTCCGTGTCTCGCGTGCCAAAGTCGTTGACATTCGTGTCGCGCGCCGGAAAATAGCTGGAATTTCACCGACAGCCCAGCGACATCGTGATACATCGAGCAGGTAAATGAGAACACGTCCGATACTTTCCCCTCCAGAGTTTCAATTCGAACGCGAAAAAAGAAACCATTACTCCGTAGAGATCGTCTCTCCTAATCGCCGGACAAATCTATCAGTTTTCCATTCGAACGGTCCGCGACGATTTGTTGTCGTTTCGATGTCGGAGAGCTCGAGACCGATCGCTCTCGCTATTCCGCGCGGCCTTTGTTTCTGTCAGCTGACATCGCGTCCTCGTGTGCCTTCTAGTGACTTTCTCCTCGTGAAACTTCTCTCTCGCGACTTGGATCTCGTGTCGTGGCGGAGAGTTTCTTACGTCCCGAGGCCCGGTTTCGTCGGGGCCGTTGAACGCGTGTTTCGACGGGGAACGGTTAGGGTTGCCAGTTGCGTATGTATACTCATCTTTTCGAGGTACGCCACCTTATTTGCTCTGTGCCTCTCTGTTGTTCGTCTTCGTCTCTTTGCGTTTCGATAAAGAAATTTTGGTGTGCAGCGTGGCTGGGCGTCGGGTAACGGACCCACGAGGTTCCTTGACCTTTCGCGGACGCGGATCCTCCAAAACATTTCGAAGGTTTCCTTTGGGCAAAATTATGTAGATCGTGTATCGATGATCAAATATAGGCAAAGATCGTTTTGTTGTGCAGAGAAACTTAGCGTTCACAACTTCAGGCGCATAGTTCCGGTGTCGATGTTTCGATATTTGTTATGAAACGATTGGCACTGGAAGTACCGAGAAGTGTACTCTGAAGACGTTACATACATTTAAAGATATCGTTGTATTATTTTCCATTTGTTAGGATCGCTAATAAAACGAATACATTTTTTTACGATTTTAGCTTGCTAAATTTGTATTACTATAAGATCCTCGATCTATGGTATCGAAAATTACTAAAATAAAGTTTTACCTTTGACGCTCTAGATTCACGGAATCCGCAAAGACCAATATATGTGTTAATTGCGGCAAATATTACAATAGCACTCGTTAAAAATCAGAATAAATCTCTTATTGTTACTTTTATAGATTAATATAAAACAGCGGATTTTAGTGCTCTGTAAATCTAGCGATAACTTATCTTTCTCTTGATTCTTGTAAAAATTACAAGAATATATATATATTTCACCAGTGAAGTTTTGCTTTGTTTTTTGCTTTGTTTCCCACCTTGTCACTCTTGACAAATACGATTTGCTCATCAATTTTTAAATTAAGTTGCTGTTATCGACACCATTTCTTCCTCTTACTTTTTGCGTCCACGTGTCAGAGCTATCCGATTTTAGTTGTTTTCCCCGTTTCTAGATTTTAAATCATTAGTGTCTTTGTACGTTTATGTCTCTAAGTGTTGTATAAGTAATAAACGGCATTAATTAATAATTAATTTAATTTATAGCATTTTTAATGTACTAGTTGTATGTGATATACTGTGGATTTTTATGCGCACTAAAAATTGTCTACATCAATTTTCAGATACTATACGTACTATAGTATAGTATATATACTATACTATACTATAATTAACGTCTGTTAATTTCTTTCTCGAGTCATTTTAACAAGTTCAAAACAATACAACAATGTTTTCGAGTGCTTTAAATACTATGACAGTTTTGCTTTTGATCTACTCATTTTGGTCAGGAAAACATCAAATTCGCGGTCTAGCGATAATATTTTAAAGTATCAGCGCATTCCTTCCCATCTTGAGATCTGCACCTTAAATCCTCTACATATAAATAAAAAACACCAGTTTAAACATACAAATAGTACAATACAAACTGGAAGAAATAAAAAATTTCACAATATCCAGAAAAACATTTTTCTCCTTAACACTAAACCTGCCCTGTCGGTCAAAATGACCGATTTCCCCTTTTTTATTTAAAAATTATTAACCCTTATCGGACGTATGTCACGCCCCACGTGACATTATGCATTAGGCCTGAATATCTGACGTCCGATAAGGGTTAAAATTATGTAGACTCTCCCATATAGAAAACGATCGAATAAACTGTCCAATTCAAACACACACTACAATAATTCTTAAAAAGCAGTACACGATGGTCATTTTTAAAACTCGACAGGTTATTATTGTCAAGTAAGATATGACGTTCAAGTCCATATTTTGTTCTCATAATGCAATACTGTAAAAATTACAATAGTTTAATTTGTCATTCGAAAAATAACAATGTTCAGTACACGATCGCATTTTCACGTCTGCATTTTAACAATCTCAACTCTGTTCTTGTAAATCTATCTACCTCTCGACTTCTGTCTATGTAAGAGCAATTTAACACCGGAACGACGGTGTCCGAATCCATCCGATTTCGTCCCGTAGCTACGAACGTTCTAATGTTCCAGTTTACAGTTCGAGTCGCTCCATCATGATCTTACACGTAGAAGTAGATCCAAAAATACGTGAACATTTATAAGGGTTCGAGCGAACTTAGCCGTGATCGTCTAGCAATTAAAATTATCAACTGTTCCCATCGCATTCAACGCAACGTATGATTTTCCGCAACTTAACTTTCCGCAGTTTCGCTTTTCGAAGCCACTCGGAACGGTGGAGAGGATGGTTTCCGAGCGTATTGTCCTTGATCCGCTAGAATCTGGTAGCGTAGCGTGTCGTTGTTGGCGAATTTCTCGGTTAGCCGGAGGTGCGTGCGGGGTCGTTGATCGGCGTGTTCTTTCACTTTCATCGAAAACACATCGCGCTGACCGCGATCTCGCGGGCGAATCGTACGCGAACACGTTGCTCAACGCGGTGAAAAAGCCTGTGAAAGCAACGAATCGCATTTCACGCGCACGATCCGATCGCCGCGCCGCGAAAAATCATCGATAAGCGTGAATCGTATTCGCCGAACAGACTCGAAGAAATCTCGTGTCCCAGCCGACGCGCTTTAACACGTCGAATGCCACGCCGGTTTTACAGAAATTGTAGGTCCACGCGCTTACATAGTACACTCAATACCCGCACACGAGATCACCATGACTTTCGTCGGCAAATATTTTTCCTAGGCGACGACATTGCTTCGGATGAAATTTTCTCAAATTAATCTGGACAAAAAATCCCAAGATTTTTCGTTCAGGCGAAAAAACACATTACAGTGGAGAAGCAAACGTTCTGATGCACTAGTGAGTCACTTTCTTCGGCTGAGCACCAAATATCTGTAAAAACCAATCACGAAACACAAGTTTGTTATTGTTTTGCCACAAAATTTTCGAGACAATATTACTGATATTAACATAAATAGGGAACGGTCACATGACAAACGTCGAGTGTCCGACCAATCAAAACATTCAACCAATCATAAATGAATCTTTAACTTGTTACTAATTTATGATTCGCGAGTTTATTAACATTTATAACACAATAAAACGACAAAGTCACACGATGATGCAAAGACCATTAAATAGACAAACTTCTATTGCGACTAGTGCAAAGTTAAGCGGCTGGATAAAAAAATGTAATCGTAGTTATGTGATACA